TTATTATTATTATTATTATTATCATTATCATTATTAGTATTATTATTATTATCATTATTATTATTATCATTATTATTATTATCATTATCATTATCATTATCATCATTATTATTATCATTATTATTATTATTATTATTATTAATATTATCATTATTATTATCATTATTATTATCACTATCATTATCTTTATCATAAACATTATTGTTATTATTACTTTTATTATTATCATTATCATTATTATTATTATTTATTATCATATCATTATTATTAATTATCATATCATTATTATTATATTATTATTATTATTATTATTATCATCATTATATATTATTATCACTATCATTATTATTATTATTATTATAAGTATCATTATTGGTATTATTATTATCATTATTATTATTTTTATTATCATTATCATTATTAGTATTATTATTATCATTATTATTATCATTATTATTATTATTATTATTATCATTATCATTATCATTATCATTATTAGTATTATTATTATTATTATCATTATTATTATTATTATTATTATTATCATTATTATTATTATTATTATTATTATCATTATTATTATTATTATTATTATCATTATTATTATTATTATTATTATCATTATTATTATTATTATTATCATTATCATTATTATTATTATCATTATTATTAGTATTATTAGTATTATTATTATTATTATTATTATTATTATTATTATTATTATTATTATTATCATTATTATTATTATTATCATTATTATTATTATCATTATTATTATTATCACTATTATTATTATTATCATTATTAACATTATCATTATTATTAACGTAGCTTCTTCCAACAAACTATCAAAACACTTACTGTACTGTCATTATATTTAATATTTTTATTGTCGAGAAGAATAAAGAACCTGACGTTTTACACGCCATTAACCATAATATTGAGAAGGTGATTGATTATAATGATTCCCTGGGTAGACCTTATATTTGCCATCCCACAGATCCATTGTACATTCTTTGCTAAAAAAAAAAAGGCTCGCAATGACATTACGTTTTGTCTCTGTAATATTATATTATTTATTAATAACTGCGAATTTGATTAAAGGTACAGGTGCGTCATTTGCGTTCCAAATATATGTAAATAATCTTCAGAAGTATTAGAAATGTACAAAAATCACATAATTCCTTCAAAAACACACCAAATTTTCATTTTTTTATTTCGATATATTATTTCTTTTTATATATCATTCAAGTCTCAAGAAAAGATTCAAACACATTCTTGTGTCGTATTCTTGGATTTAAAGGCTGAAATTTTGACGATGAGCTGTGAAAACGATGAGCTGTGAAACCGATGAGCTGTGAAAACGATGAGCTGTGAAAACGATGAGCTGTGAAAACGATGAGCTGTGAAACCGATGAACTGTGAAAACGATGAGCTGTGAAAACGATGAGCTGTGAAAACGATGAGCTGTGAAACCGATGAGCTGTGAAAATGATTAGCTTATTAGCTGATTAGATAATTAGCTAAAAAACATTCTGGTTAATGAGACTAAGATACGATTGGTCAATTGGATGGCAAAAATGTCCCTTTAACTTCCCTCAGTACGTTTTCTTGTCTGTCTCTTTAAGGGATAGGACTCATACTTATTGATTAGACTGAAAAGGTGTCAAGTAGTTTTCACATTTTCCACCTTGTCTCCTTGTTTGTTCGACCAATAAGGAGATTAATGCCGAGTTAATGACTAATTGGTTAATTAGGTAGCGAGGAGAGAGTACTAACTAATCACTTAACGTCATTCCGGAATCCCAGTCGCGTAAATTTCCACTCTAAAGCTCATTCGTGCATTAAAACACAGTGTTTCAGGTGGATTCAAGGTGACTTATCTTTACAAATTCCAAATCACATCAATTTATGACTACATCAAGACTATATTATTATATGGTTTATACGTAGGTTTTTTTTTCATGGCCCTCAACTGCGAACCTCTACTTGCTGATTGATTTTTATATACATACGGGGCAGAATACATGCAATCAGTCGTAAAAGATAGCTTGCCAGATACGCTAACTGGCAGTACAGTAACAATCACCAGTATGAAATATTCAACCTTCAGTCTTACACTTCTTTTGAACTTTTTGATGCGATACTGATCACTTTTCATCTAAATCCGACAAGAATTGTATCTTCTGGAGTGTTTTCGAGCTATAAATTGAACGCGTTTTCAAGAACAAGGGAAATGACCCAAACTAAATATTTTTCGATTTTTCTGATTTTCGATTGGGATCATCCTTTGGTGATAACAAACACTCAAACCAAGTTTCGTCAAAATCTGTCAATAATTAAACCTTCTAGAGTGTTAACAAGCTAAAATTAAACGCGTTTTCAAGACCAAGAGCAATAACTCATACTAACTATTTTACAATTTTTCTGATTTTCAATAGGATTCATCCTTGGTGATACAAACACTCATGCCAAGTTTCAACAAAATCCGTCAAGAACTGCGCCTTCTAGAGTGTTTACAAACATTTCAAGATCAAGAGCAATAATTCATAATAAATATTTATTCCCACCCCGATATGTGGGTGTATCAAAATAACTAACAACGAGTCTCGTCGTGCTGGAGTCAATGTTCAACCAATCAGCTCCCCCCCTCAACCCCCCTTCCATTACCTCCGTCCCTCGTACCCTTTTGGGCTAGCTTATGATCTTCGAATTAACTGCCGAAACACAGTTCTATCATTAAATATTGTTATCGTCGAGAAGAATAATTACATGACATTTTGTACGCCATTAACCATAATATTGAGAAAGTAGGCCTAATTAATTATTAATTGAAATTATAATAATTAACTGAGTACACCTAATATTTCACCATCTTACAGATTAATTGTACATTGTATTCTATTCTTCTAGAAAAAACGCAATGAACTTTCTATAACATTACGTTTTGTTTCTGTAATATTATATTATTTATTATTAACTACGACCTTGATTAAACTTCCTTCTGTAGGTTTTATACACAAAACATGAACACTTTTTTTGATTAAAAGACACAACTCTATTTAACCCCGTTACTTTAGAATTCCTACGACTAAACTTGCACGTTAAGTGAAGAAAAATGTTAATTTTGACGTTGTCAAATCGCTAATTAATAACGTTTACGCTTGTACGTTAATATACGATGATATTTTGAGAAATATGATCTAGATTGGTGAAGGAAAGCTTCCCTAATATAGTATAATCTCTAGAATCAATTCCATTATGTAGTTATTACTTATTCTCTACCCATTTCTCTAGAACTCATACGACTAAACAAGCACGTTAAGTGAAGAAAAATGTTAATTTTGACGTTACCAAATAGTTATAATATAGAACGTACGTTAATATACGATGGCATTTTGAGAAACATGATCTAGATTGGTGAAGGAAAGTTTCCAAAATATAATAGAATCAATTCCAGTATGTAGTTATTATATAGGGATTATTGCCCCTTACAGGATCTATAATCGGTTTCATTACCCTCTTCCCCTGTATATCACTCACTATTTCTTAATTTCTCGTCATACCCGTGTTCATTATGCACCGGTAGCATTATATTGTTTATATTCTACCGTTGCTCTCACAATCCCATATTATCGTCATTAATTTTGATTGGTAAAGAGTTTACTTCTCTACCTATCAGATTTCTTCAAACAAATTATTGCGGAAAATATTTGAATAACCAGACAAAATTTAAGTAACAAATTTGCTTTCTGATAATAGAGTATCAAAGTTGACAGTTGATTTTTTATTGCCATATGAGTCAATTTTTAACAGCTATTGTACACATTGATTGTTTTTAAGTTTTCCTCACGTTTGGAGGCGACATAGTGCAGTTCAGTCACGGTAAGATCGCAAATGGTCACAATTCAATGTGACGTGGCTGTAAGGTATTCCCAGCAATCATTTTGCATTGAACGTCCCTATCAGGAAAATCTGTCAGGTAATACTACACATTGTTAATCAACCTTAGAAATCAATAAACCCATCAATTCCAACAACTGATAGATAACTAAACTGATTGACTGTCTGTCTTTAATGTTGTTTTATTAGTATAATTTAGTGAGTAATATCTAACCCTAACAATATACATCAACAATTCAAACTGAATTTTATAGACAAGGACTAATTGGCTTTACCTGAGAGAAATTTTGAGTTATTTTATCAGAAATATTTCACGACTGGTGTCATTTCTATATACAGTATATTTATGTCAGAGCTTGTGTGTGTCTTTTTAACTAAATCATACTTACATCTAATTTTCAAATATTTAATAGGATTATCTATTGCTCTGTGACCCGGGCCAGTGTTTTCGTTGAAAATCATCTCAATACAGTGACACCTTAATACCAATCAGGTGTCTTTATTACACAGACTTTAAACGCCTACTCTATCTGTGTTTTGGACACACAGTACTCATCAGGACAGATTGTTTTGAATTTGACTTGATTTGGATGCGGAACAGGAATGTCCAGATTTTGTACAGTTTATGAAGATACGAGACAGAAAAGTTCAGTTATTGTTATTCTCTAGTAATGAGTTTATGAGTATACGAGACAGGAAAGTTCAGATATTGTACAGTTTATGAGTATACGAGACAGGAAAGTTCAGATACTGTACAGTTAATGAAGATACGAGACAGGAAAGTTCAGATATTGTACAGTTTATGAGTATACGAGACAGGAAAGTTCAGATATTGTACAGTTTATGAGGATACGAGACAGGAAAGTTCAGATATTGTACAGTTTATGAGTATACGAGACAGGAAAGTTCAGATACTGTACAGTTTATGGGGATACGAGACAGGAAAGTTCAGATACTGTACAGTTAATGAAGATACGAGACAGGAAAGTTCAGATATTGTACAGTTAATGAAGATACGAGACAGGAAAGTTCAGATACTGTACAGTTAATGAAGATACGAGACAGGAAAGTTCAGATACTGTACAGTTAATGAAGATACGAGACAGGAAAATTCCGATATTGTACAGTTAATGCGGAACAGGAAAGTTCAGATACTGTACAGTTAATGCGGAACAGGAAAGTTCAGATACTGTACAGTTAATGAGGATACGAAACAGAAAAGTTCATATATTGTACAGTTAATGCGGAACAGGAAAGTTCAGATATTGTACAGTTTATGAGGATACGAAACAGGAAAGTTCAGATACTGAAAGCGGATTGTGCCATTTACCGAAATATTTCAGATATTAAAGGAACAGATTTGACAAATTGTACTTTAGTCTCAGAAACTTTTTTACTAAGCTAATCAGTAATGTCACAGCTCACCGTCGAAATTTGAGCCTTCAAATCCATGTGTGTCCAGAATTATCCGTGTTTGAAAGTTAAAACGACGATTCGTCATTTCTTGAGACTCTGCCATATATAGAAAAGAAATCATAATATAGAAATAGAAAGTGAAATTCCTAGTTTGAAGTATTTTATTAGTGCGACTTGTGGTATTAATTGGTAGCACTAATAGTCAGTAGTATCGACGGGGGTGATCGATACTGAACCGTAGCAACGACTTGGAGTAAGGGGGGTTTCGCCTGTGTAGCTCTGGGGGTTAAAATGGTTTTCTAAGCCCAAGTGTCGGGACTGTCTTTGATGCTTGAGTTCGGGTTTTGGATTTAACTTGTAAATAATAAGATCTGAAATGTTGTACAATGTAATATGAATTGGTCTAACATATAATAATACAATACAATATAATATATAAAGATAGTTGGTAAAATATAACTATTACATATGAAGACATTTAAATATTAAGAATATAAAATACTAAAAGATCTAATAGTTCTTACCTGAAATGTTGTACAATGTAATATGAATTGGTGACGACTGATGTTTGCTGGTCATATTTATATTATATTATAGTCGCCATTCCATTCATATACATTGGGTAACTTAATGATCTAACTATATTAGCTGTCATATTATCTAAGATTATTAAAAACATGAAACACAGTTGATTAGTCTTACTATATAATTGATATTCTTAGACAATATTACATGTTGTTATATAGGCTATTATAGTATTTTTAAAGGAATTATGTGATTTTTGTACATTTCTAGTACTTCTGAAGACTATTTACATATATTCAAGACTAAAATCAACCCCGGAAATTGGCACATCTGTCCCTTTAAATTCAATGAACTTACCAAAGAGTATAGCAGGGTGTCAATAAGACGAATATCCTACTGGAGAATTGTATCGTTGTGAATGGGATTTATCTGGTAGTAAGGATTAAAAGTTGAAACCTGATTAACCGGCATAACAATTGATTTTTTTCGTGGGAAGGATTCGAACCCACGGCACATAATCGTCTAGCAGATAATATAACTACAAACAACGACTAAGCTATTCCATCTCCATGTAAGGAAATTAACGCCGTTATCCTGCCTGCCAGCCGCCAATACCTAGCAATCATTGATTTTGGTGAAAAACAGAATGATTTTTATGGGTATAACTTTGATAGAAGACAACGTTTCGTTAATCATACTCTAGTTTCAGTAGTGTAGTTGGTTCCATTTTGCTGAACAAGTGACAACTGTAACAGACGTCTAGATATTCGGAAAAGAATTCCAAAAAAACTTGGAAATGGCGAGTGACAATACGACCGAATATTGGACCAATTCAACAGAGTTGAAGACACCGTTTGTTTTAATCCCTGATATACCACAATTAGTTCGTATCCTCGTCGTCACTTCCGTTACAGTGTTTATAATCACCTCCAATATTATCAATATATTGGTACTAAGAAGAACCCGGATGTCTGCCAACGCTAAGTTGTGTTTGAGTAATTTGGGATACGCCGATTTGGAGGTGGGATTGGTGTCGTGTTCACCCTGTGTCGTGGTCGCTATTCTCGGGTACTGGCCGTTCGGAGAAATCTTCTGTCAGATAGCCGGATTCGCTCACGGAGTATCAGTCGTAGTATCTATTTTAAGCCTGGCTTTAGTAAGCGTTGATCGCTACATCGCCATTGTCAAGGCCTTACATTATCAAACGGTTTTCACTAAAACTCGATGTAAAATTATTTTATTCAGTTTTTGGATTATTTCTATGATATCTTTTATCATTCCAAACTTTCTAGTGCCTGATTTTCTCTACTATAAATTCAACACAATCGAAGGAATTTGTGGACTCTACTGGGGTTTTCCACTCTTCTGTATCCTTACAAGCGTCTTTCCGATCTCTTCCGGAATCGTAGTCGCATGTAGCACGTTCTGTATCGTTCGATATCTACGGAAGTCGGACACAAGCCTATCGTCGAGCGTCGGAGCTAGAGTGAGAGGCCGTGGAAGTCGAGATACTAAAGCTCTGAAGATTTTAATGGCCACGACCTGTCTGTATTTCATATGTTGGGGTCCATACGTCATATCCGTAAGCATCACTTCATACCTACCAAGTATCAAAGCGCCACCTATCGCTGATTTTACCTTTATGTGGGTTGCTAATAGTAACAGTTTTATTAATGTTTTAGTGTATTCTGTTGTTTATAAAAGTTTTAGAGACGAAATCAAAAGAATGTTTACACCAAAATATTGGAGAAAAGAGAGAAGTTTGCGGCCGCCGCCTGTAGTCAGTTATATTGTTAGTAGTGACGTTGTCGACTCTTCGTTTCAGACTAAGGAATTCGCTCACAACGTAATTCAATGTGAATAGTTCTTAGATTGGCTGTATTCGATAGCGTACAATCCAATCACATCGCTTCATTTACAAACTTCTGTGATGGCTGTTGCAGTTAAAGTTATAAAACAAAGTTTACAATAGCTTGACATTGTGAATTCAGTGTGAATACGTCTTAATTTATTGTTCTGAAAGTTTATAAGAAGACCGTCTATAGTCTACAATAATAATAAGGAGCAAACAGACATGGGCGTTAGGAATGAAATGAATTTTTACGAGTTTTACGTCCTACTTTTCTGTACCATGTGGGCTAATGAAGACAGGCAACATTATGCAGGGTGCAATGAGGGAAATTTTGCTAGGACAGCTGCATTAGCCAACTCGTTTTTCGATTTCAAACTGTCGATGGATTTTTAACGTACACAACCTGTAGCACACGGGGCCTCGGTTTATTGTCCACCCAGAACGACTCTTGTTACATGTCAGTCCCTCTCACGTGTACCTGTAGGCAATATGGCAGCCCCGTATCCATGTTTTACCGGTTAAAAAGTAATCGGGTAAAAAAAACAGATATTTTTAGGCCCAGTAACATAAAAGATAAGCTCCTAATTTCTGCAGTATAAATAATTCCTCACTTGATTATACGTAAATAGTCTTCAGAAGTACCAGATCAGTACGATAATTGCAAAGATATCTTTAACTAGAAATTTCACTTTTTCTTTTTGTTCTTTTACTAATCTATCAACTAACAATTGTGTTGTCTCACGTTCATTCCGGTTCCCCCACCGTGGCCTGAATCGTGATTGTCGTGGCCGCCGGAAACATAGTGTAAATTTGGCATTGGCTCAACAATTTCCGTTTCTGAGATCACTGACCTGCGAAACTGGAGAATCGTGGCCTTGAAAGGTATGATATATACTTATCTTGTTTCAGTAACAAACATCTCAAGGTCTGCCAATTAAAAAAAATCAAAATTGATTTGTTTAATTAAGAAATTCCTAGGAAAAAATATTCCTAGATGTAAATAATCAAGATAAAAGAATTATTGTATTTCTGTTCAATGTAAATTATAGATTGTTATTATTGTTTTGGATATAAGAGAATTAAAAATAAAGGTATAATTTCTATTCTAGTGTATGTTTTAGTAACTAGGGTTAATAAGATAGTGGACCACAGCCATATACGCCCACCACGGCATGCGGATGGTAAATATTCAAGATTTTGGGGCAAAGGCAGTAACTCTGCTTCTAACGGCCGAAAAAATTCGAACTTGATCTTCGTTTAATGAACATGTATACACATACCGAATTTCATTTGATTCCATCAAAAAATATAGTTTTTAGAGCGTTTACAAGCAAATGTTGATGGACGGAAGGACGGACGGACGGACGGACGGACGGACGGACGGACGGACGGACGGACGGACCAACCGACCGACCAACCGACGGACCTTCGTTTCATGAATATGTATGCACATACCGAATTTCATTTGATTCCTTAAAACACTCTAGTTTTTAGAGTGTTTACGAGCAAGTGATGTTGATAGAAGCACTTACTGTATAGAGGTTAAAGGGCGATAATTCCTCAAAACGGACGTAAGAGGCCTAAATCTTGAAAAAGCCTTAAATTTAATCAGGAGTAAACTAAACTTTCTCAAACCTTTCGATTTCAGTCCAATAACATCCATTTTAAATTTCGTCAAAATCGATTGAAAACTAAGAGAGTAATAGCATATTCAAGATTTTGGGTCAAGGGCAATAACTCTGCTTCTAACGGTCGAAAATAGCTCAAATTCGAACTTGATCTTCGTTTTATGAATATGTATACACATACCGAATTTCATTTGATTCCATCAAAAAATCTATTTTTAGAGCGTTTACAAGCAAATGTTACAAGCAACGGACGGACGGGCGATGGTGCCGACAAAATACGTCCACATAAAGAGATGTGGGCGAATAAAAACGAATTTCGATTTTCCGTAAAGGACGAGGGATGGGATGTGGGGTTAAAGGGGGGGGGGGGGTTAAACTGTACCGCTTTCGTGAAAAATTATTGGTCTTTCAGTGGAAAATCTTGTGTTTCTCAATGTTCACAATCGGCTAGCTAGTTGAACAGGATAGTTTTGATCAATGGTGCTTCACTGGTATCATGTCACAATCTACTAGCTAGTTGAACACGGTAGTTTATATCAATGGTGGTTCACTGTTATCGTGTCACAATCTACTAGCTAGTTGAACAAGATAGTTTATATCAATGGAGATTCACTGCGATCGTGTCACAATCTGCTAGCTAGTTGTACAAGATAGTTTATATCAATGGGGTTCACTGTTATCATGCCACAGTCTACTAGTTAGTTTAACACGAGAGTTTATATCAATGGTGGTTCACTGTTATCGTGTCACAATCTACTAGCTAGTTGTACACGGTGGTTTATATCAATGGTGGTTCACTGTTATCGTGTCACAATCTACTAGCTAGTTGTACACGAGAGTTTATATCAATGGCGGTTCACTGTTATCGTGTCACAATCTACTAGCTAGTTGTACACGAGAGTTTATATCAATGGTGGTTTACTGTTTTCGTGTCACAATCTACTAGCTAGTTGTACACGGTGGTTTATATCAATGGTGGTTCACTGTTATCGTGTCACAATCTACTAGCTAGTTGTACACGGTGGTTTATATCAATGGTGGTTCACTGTTATCGTGTCACAATCTACTAGTTAGTTTAACAAGATAGTTTAAATCAATGGTGATTCACTGTTATCGTGTCACCATCTGCTAGCTAGTTGTACATGATAGTTTATATCAATGGTAGTTCACTGTTATCGTGTCACAATCTACTAGCTAGTTGTACACGAGAGTTCATATCAATGGTAGATTCACTGTTATCGTGTCACCATCTGCTAGCTAGTTGTACACGATAGTTTAGATCAATGGTGGCTCAATGTTATCGTGTTACAATCTACAAGCTAGTTGTACATGATAGTTTATATCAATGGTAGTTCACTGTTATCGTGTCACAATCTACTAGCTAGTTGGACATGATAGATTATATCAATGATGGTTCGCTGTTATCGTGTCACAATCTACTAGCTAGTTGTACACGGTGGTTTATATCAATGGTGGTTCACTGTTATCATGCCACAATCTACTAGCAAGATGAACACGGTGGTTTATATCAATGGTGGTTAACTGTTATCGTGTCACAATCTACTAGCTAGTTGAACAAGATAGTTTATATCAATAGAGTTTCACTGTTATCGTGTCACAATCTACTAGCTAGTTGAACAAGATAGTTTATATCAATGGAGATTCACTGCGATCGTGTCACAATCTGCTAGCTAGTTTTACAAGATATTTTATATCAATGGAGGTTCACTGTTTTCATGCCACAGTCTACTAGTTAGTTTAACACGAGAGTTTATATCAATGGTAGTTCACTGTTATCATGCCACAATCTACTAGCTAGTTGAACATGAGAGTTTATATCAATGGTGGTTCACTGTTATCGTGTCACAATCTACTAGCTAGTTGTACACGAGAGTTCATATCAATGGTGGTTCACTGTTATCATGCCACAATTTACTAGCTAGTTGAACACGGTGGTTTATATCAATGGTGGTTCACTGTTATCCTGTCACAATCTACTAGCTAGTTGTACACGAGAGATTATATCAATGGTGGTTCACTGTTATCGTGTCAAAATCTACTAGCTAGTTGTACACGAGAGTTTATATCAATGGTGGTTCACTGTTATCGTGTCACAATCTACTAGCTAGTTGTACACGAGAGTTTATATCAATGGTGGTTCACTGTTTTCGTGTCACAATCTACTAGCTAGTTGAACAAGATATTTTATATCAATGGAGGTTCACTGCGATCGTGTCACAATCTGCTAGCTAGTTGTACAAGATAGTTTATATTAATTGTGGTTCACTGTTATCATGTCACAATCTACTAGCTAGTTGTACACGGTGATTTATATCAATGGTGGTTCACTGTTATCATGTCACAATCTACTAGCTAGTTGAACACGAGAGTTTATATCAATGGAGGTTCACTGTTTACGTGTCACAATCTACTAGCTAGTTGAACACGAGAGTTTATATCAATGGAGGTTCACTGTTATCGTGCCACAATCTACTAGCTAGTTGTACACGGTGGTTTATATCAATGGCGGTTCACTGTTATCGTGTCACAATCTACTAGCTAGTTGAACACGAGAGTTTATATCAATGGAGGTTCACTGTTATCGTGCCACAATCTACTAGCTAGTTGTACACGGTGGTTTATATCAATGGCGGTTCACTGTTATCGTGTCACAATCTACTAGCTAGTTGTACACGGTGGTTTATATCAATGGTGGTTCACTGTTATCATGTCACAATCTACTAGCTAGTTGTACAAGATAGTTTATATCAATGGTGGTTGACTGTTATCGTGTCACAATCTACTAGCTAGTTGTACACGGTGGTTTATATCAATGGTGGTTCACTGTTATCGTGTCACAATCTACTAGCTAGTTGAACAAGATAGTTTATATCAATGGTGGTTCACTGTTATCGTGTCACAATCTACTAGCTAGTTGTACACCGTGGTTTATATCAATGGTGGTTCACTGTTATCGTGTCACAATCTACTAGCTAGTTGTACACGAGAGTTTATATCAATGGTGGTTCACTGTTATCGTGTCCCAATCTACTAGCTAGTTGTACACGAGAGTTTATATCAATGGTGGTTCACTGTTATCGTGTCACAATCTACTAGCTAGTTGTACACGAGAGTTTATATCAATGGTGGTTCACTGTTATCGTGTCACAGGAACCACGGACGTCTGATTGAAAATTGGAATGGTGTAAATTTACATAGAAAATATAAAAACAATACCGAATAGAGGTCACAGCAATGGCAAATAGAGGTAACGGAATAGTGGAGACGGCAATATACAACCACATTATAATGACGAATAGAGGCAACGGCAATACCCAATAGTGGAAACGGCAATATACAACCACATTATAATAACGAATAGAGGTAACGGCAATACCCAATAGTGGAGACGGCAATATACAACCACATTATAATAACGAATAGGGGCAACGGTAATATCGAATAGAGGTGACGGAAATATCGAATAGTGGAGACGGCAATATACAACCACATTATAATGACGAATAGAGGCAATGGCAATACCGAATAGAGGTAACGGCAATACGGAATAGAAGTAACAGCAATGGCAAATAGAGGTAACGGCAATACCGAATAGAGGTAACGGCAATACTGAATAGAGGTAACGGCAATACTGAATAGAGGTAACGGCAATACCGAATAGAGGTAACGGCAATACCGAATAGAGGTAACGGCAATACCGAATAGAGGTAACGGCAATACCGAATAGAGGTAACGGCAATGGCGAATAGAGGTAACAGCAATGGCGAATAGAAGTAACGGCAATACCGAATAGAGGTAACGGCAATACTGAATAGAGGTAACGGCAATACTGAATAGAGGTAACGGCAATACCGAATAGAGGTAACGGCAATACCGAATAGAGGTAACGGCAATACTGAATAGAGGTAACGGCAATACCGAATAGAGGTAACGGCAATACCGAATAGAGGTAACGGCAATACCGAATAGAGGTAACGGCAATACTGAATAGAGGTAACGGCAATACCGAATAGAGGTAACGGCAATACCGAATAGAGGTAACGGCAATACTGAATAGAGGTAACGGCAATACTGAATAGAGGTAACGGCAATACCGAATAGAGGTAACGGCAATACTGAATAGAGGTAACGGCAATACTGAATAGAGGTAACGGCAATACCGAATAGAGGTAACGGCAATGCCGAATAGAAGTAACGGCAATACTGAATAGAGGTAACGGCAATACTGAATAGAGGTAACGGCAATACGGAATAGAAGTAACAGCAATGGCAAATAGAGGTAACGGCAATACCGAATAGAGGTAACGGCAATACTGAATAGAAGTAACAGCAATGGCGAATAGAGGTAACGGCAATACTGAATAGAGGTAACGGCAATACTGAATAGAGGTAACGGCAATACCGAATAGAGGTAACGGCAATACTGAATAGAGGTAACGGCAATACCGAATAGAGGTAACGGCAATACTGAATAGAGGTAACGGCAATACCGAATAGAGGTAACGGCAATACCGAATAGAGGTAACGGCAATACGGAATAGAAGTAACAGCAATGGCAAATAGAGGTAACGGCAATACCGAATAGTGGAGACGGCAATATACAACCACATTATAATGACGAATAGAGGTAACAGCAATGGCGAATAGAGGTAACAGCAATGGCGAATAGAGGTAACGGCAATACCGAATAGAGGTAACAGCAATGGCAAATAGAGATAACGGCAATACCGAATAGAGATAACGGCAATGCCGAATAGAGGTAACGGCAATGGCGAATAGAGGTAACGGCAATGGCGAATAGAGGTAACGGCAATGGCGAATAGAGGTAACAGCAATGGCGAATAGAAGTAACGGCAATACCGAATAGAGGTAACGGCAATGGCGAATAGAAGTAACGGCAATACCGAATAGAGGTAACGGCAATACCGAATAGAGGTAACGGCAATACCGAATAGAGGTAACGGCAATGGCGAATAGAAGTAACAGCAATGGCGAATAGAGGTAACGGCAATGGCGAATAGAAGTAACGGCAATACCGAATAGAGGTAACGGCAATACCGAATAGAGGTAACGGCAATGGCGAATAGAGGTAACAGCAATGGCGAATAGAAGTAACGGCAATACCGAATAGAGGTAACGGCAATACTGAATAGAGGTAACGGCAATACCGAATAGAGGTAACGGCAATACCGATTAGAGGTAACGGCAATACTGAATAGAGGTAACGGCAATACCGAATAGAGGTAACGGCAATACTGAATATAGGTAACCGAATAGAGGTAACCGAATAGAGGTAACGGCAATACCGAATAGAGGTAACCGAATAGAGGTAACCGAATAGAGGTAACGGCAATATACAACCACATTATAATGATGAATAGAGGTAACGGCAATACCGAATAGTGGAGACGGCAATATACAACCACATTATAATGACGAATAGGGGCAACGGTAATATCGAATAGAGGTGACGGAAATATCGAATAGTGGAGACGGCAATATACAACCACATTATAATAACGAATAGAGGCAACGGTAATATCGAATAGAGGTAACCGAATAGAGGTAACGGCAATATACAACCACATTATAATAACGAATAGAGGTAACGGCAATACCGAATAGGGGTAACCGAATAGAGGTAACCGAATAGAGGTAACGGCAATATACAACCACATTATAATAACGAATAGAGGCAACGGTAATATCGAATAGAGGTAACCGAATAGAGGTAACGGCAATATACAACCACATTATAATAACGAATAGAGGTAACGGTCAATACCGAATAGAGGTAACCGAATAGAGGTAACGGCAATATACAACCACATTATAATGATGAATAGAGGTAACGGTAATACCCAATAGTGGAGACGACAATATATTGGCGTATAAAAAAAACAACTCAGATTGATTTTAGCTGATGATATATTTTATAAGTTAAGTGAAGCTGTAAAGTTTATTTAATTGAAACATTTTTTAACGATGGTACAGTGACAATGCCTAGTTTTGTAATCATATTACACGCCTGCCATTGAGCCACACCCTCACCAGATATATGTAGATCAGGCTGAAAAATAGAAAAATACATATTATAAAGCAGTTGAAGTAGGGGTGGGACAATGAGATCTTTTCTTGAAATTTGAAAAAAGCAAGGCATTTCCGAAGCCGAAAAAGAATATGAATTTTTTTTTCGTCTATGACGTCATCTTAGTGGAGTGCGGGGCCAAAATAAGTGCAAAAAATGCATATTTTGCACGTTGATGTAGGTTTAGAGGTATTAAAAGTCAGTCATGTTATTTTTTGTTTGTTTTTTTGTTAATAATATAAACTTTCTAATTATAAATTAAACTTAACTTATTATAAGATTCGGTAACTAAAACAGTGAGAACCTGATAATTTGTCACACCTTGATTAAATTCGACACAGTTAATGAGACATGATTGTTATTATAAATAGTATCGTAGTCATAGATTGTGCTGAATAAGGTATTATACTGAATTTATACCCAATGTCACGGGAATAAATATGTCAAATGCAGGTATTTCATCACTTCAAAAATTTTCGTCCAGACAAGATGTGCGTTATTTCGATTATTAATCGATTATGCCTCTCTGATTATTTCGATTAATCGATTATTATTTTCTTCCGATTGTCCATCACTAATAATATTGGTGGTTTTATTGAACGTATATGGGCCTCTTTTTCTTATAATGAGTTTTATGAGAAACAGGGCTCTGTACCAGGCTTTCTTTGTCAATAAACAGACTTCAATATTTATTAATTTATATACGCTATGTTAAGTTTTTTTTTTGCGAAACAGGACACACACGTCTGCCTTCAATTCAACTCACCTGTAATTTTTCCCAGATTTTTTTCTTGGGATTTAATTTTTCATCTGGTTGATTTTGTTCGTAACCTTCGAAGAAAACACGTTCTCCAAGACTGGTACCACTTGGTAGCTCGAGAGGTTCCACAGATTCAGGGCTGAAAAAAAAAGACAAAATTTGGTATCTATCTAGGTCTATCTTAATGCCTCACAGATAATATTTCAACTTTACTGACCTAGAATTTTATGACGAAGTTACCACAAAACAGGGCTCTTATTAAACGGATTGTAAAGTGATTTTCTAGGTGTATCAGAGTCTCAGACCGACGGTTAATATCCTCTATCGGAGCCATAACATGTCAGTCTATGTCTTTTCAAAGAAAAAAAGAATATGACATCACTGTAATAAAGTATAAAGACAACAATCACTGCTTATCTACAATAACTTTATAAACAACCCGATAATCTGATAATCCCAAAATTACCTCTTATAAATGTTTAATTAATCATCCATTGTCTATTTACGGTACTTCTTTTAGGAGGTAACTACTCAGAAGTAGTATATCTATATATCTTTTGTTATTTATGTTTGCCTTCCTTCTATTTGTCTTACAAAGAATATTGTATATAATTGTGTATAACTATCATTATATTGGTATTTGAAATTAGTATGTAATAAACTCAGAAGTAGTATATCCATATATCTTGTGTTATTTATGTTTGCCTTCCTTCTATATGTCTTACAAAGAAAGGTACTTCTTTGTTTACATTTAAAAATTGTAACATAGTTATCTCCCTTAATCTAAGAAATAATTCTGACCTATATTTATCAAAACATTATTATTTTTTTTAAATTACCCTCCTAAAGTATATTTTAGAATTTCTGACCTATACAATAAAAAGTTTAAAATATTTAAATATAATCTACTGTATAAAAATACGATCTTATATTCAGAAAACTGTAATATTTCACCCAATTACCTCCCTTGAAGAGTGTTTGACCTATATCTTCTTGTAGTTGTGTTTCTTTCCTAAATTACCTCCCTTGAAGTTGAAACTTTCAGCTGTCAATCAAGTATAGTTCTATAAGGAACTTCCCCGGTGGGAGGAGCTACTAGGGTACTGTTTAGCATATTAAAGATGGCAGATAATTAGATTGTTTACTTTTCAAAACGATCTTATTTGGGAATTTGGGAATTGTTTGGGGGGTCTTAATCTATGAAAATATGACAGAAATATGATGGAAATATATAGATGATCTTATATCTCACAATCAATTATGACAATCATCAAAAAAAACTGAAAAACATCATATCAATACCTATTCACCCTTTTCAATAAATGTAAATATTTTTGTTACTTTATGATTCGCTTTCAATGTACATATTAAATAACGCTGCTGTCATTTCTTTTGTTTATATATATTTATATTTATAATTATATTTTCATAATTTGTAAATATTTGTATTAGTAATGTATTAATATTAGCCTCGGCTTGTTTCTGAAACCAATGTTTATATATAACACATGTATTACTTGTAAATTAAGAATAAATATTGTTTAAATCATCAAGTCAATACCGGTATATATATATAATAACTTCTCTCAAAGAGAAATTGAACCTGGTTTCCCTTTGTCAGTTATGTAGGTAAGAGGGGCTGACATGGAAAAAGCTTCTAGTCATTCAGATGGGACAATAAACCGATAGCGAGAATGGTCAACGTAGATACGAATGAGCATCAACTTGGTTAATATTTATTTAACTTCAGATAGGACAAGAAATCTACTTACGTAGAAGCACACATCAACATGGCCTCTGATAAAACTCCTCTCATTTTGGCTGGTTTTAGATTACAAACAAACACAGCTAGTCGGTCTTGTAGTTTCTCCATCGGATACAGATTATTCAAACCACTCACCACAGTACGGGGATTCTCTTCTCCTAAGTCAACTTTCTCCACAAATAAACTTTCAGCATCAGGATGCTGGAAAAACAAAATCAGTCTTCACAGCTCAGAAATTTAAAAAAAAAAACAGATACATTCTTCTTCATTTCACATTTACTCAGTATTCATTATATTAATTCATAATAAGATACATTAGAAGACAATTGTCAGCAAGATTCCAATGAGTGACTGATCAAGAAAGGTCAAAACGTCTTTTTTTGTTTATCCAGACTGTACACACATGGACATTTATGATTGGTTAAAACTCGTAATGATATGATTAAGAATACATGGTAATCAAATAGTTTGCTTAATTTGACACTAAAAAATAAGGAAACCCATCTTTAAACTAATAAAATAATACTGGATCACTAGTAATCATGGCCATTCTTTTAACTTTCCTTACAATTTCAAACATACCACAAATATTGATCAAAAGATGGTGTGAAAAGATAAAACAAGAGAAAGGATATCTGCTGATATACAACGTACCTTTTCTACGGAGATAATTTTCCCGACACGTAAATCTAATCTACTAGGAATGATTTCTTCAACACTCGCTCCCTTCTCTACAAAAACATAAAATACATTAACATTTTTTAACTTCAGAGAAGTTGGGGTGTGTTTTTAAACTTTCTGTACTTTGACAATGAATAAATGATTAAAAATTGAGAAAACGAGAAAAAACTGTGCATAAATGCAGATATAAGTGTAAAAAGTCACGAAAATCAGACTTGATTTGTACTGAGTGATCTTAAAGTGTTACTAACGGACTCGGGTCTAACAAAAAATTTTTTTTACTTTTAAGTTCGGTTTATTGTCCCCTCTGAACGACAAGATGTGTTTTCCATGTCAGCCCCTCTTACCTGCATCATTGATAGGGGGAAACCAGGTTGTAAAATCCGAAGGTATTATCTCAACCTATGCCGGGATTGAACCCTAGACCTTCAGGTCAGCGAGCAAGCGTCTAATTCACTGAGCCAACCCGGCTCCCATTGGAACAGTAGAAATGGTGAAAGCGAATTATGTCGTCCACACTGTCCAGATCTGTATAGTCACTATCTATTGTATCGATAATCTCTCATCACACCTTCTCTAGTCCCACCATGAAATGAGCATGGATTATGGCAAGGCTTAGTGTATGGAAGATGGCCTGTAAACCCCCTTTATTAGAACACAAAAATAAAAACTTACTTTCTGGTGGGGGGTAGGCTTCTGCCGTTAATTTTTTCAGTTCTGCTGATTCAAATTCTTTTCTAATTGGTTCCAGTAATTTATTCAATGCTTTTTCTACCGATGCCTTTAAATCTCCTGGGTGTACTTTCTGAAATAGAAGCAGAATTGAGTTTTACACTCTCCTTTTGTAATCAGGAATGTGCTTAAACATAGACATCATACAGTGTGCAATGAGTGAAATTTTGCAAGACAGCAGCATTGGTATACTCTTTTTAGCTTCTCAAATGTTGAGTAACCTTTAACATACACAGCCTGTATCAAACAGGGCCTCAGTTTATAGTTCAATATGAAAACTAAAGATTGATTTTTTTTTTTCCTTTAAAAGCTTCAATCTAATTAAAGCTTATGAAAAAGTAAATATTGCCCTGTCTTACGAAGAGACATTCAAGAATTGGTAGCTCAGCAAGATATAATGGAAATTAATGGTATGATTACCTCTAATCTAAAATCTTCCTGTAAATCTGTAAAATTATCGTATGTTTTATTTCCACCATGTTCTTCTGTTCTTTCTATTTTAATCTCTGTTGATAAATAATAAATATAGTTAATAATTAGGTTTATCACTGTCCTGGCAAAATGTCCCTTATTACACACTGCATGGCATTGTCTCTCTTCAATAGACTAATTACATGCAGAGATGAAGTAAAGCTACTTTTTTCATTCTTGGTAATTTGTTTGAAAAGAGGTTTTATATGTATCTGTGAAACTGGTAGCATCAATTTACACCATTCCAAATTTCAGCTTAGTTTTAGTGGTATAGCAGGAACCATAGAGACGTAGGATTGAAAATGAGAATGGTTCAAATTGTAGCTATCTGTGTTCCCGAAATACATACAAAATTAACACAGTATTTTATAACCTTGCTTTCTCTGTCTTGGATCCTCTAAACTCTGTCAAAACTTGCATCAGTTAATATCCTATACATATACGAAGAAAATTCTGTATTTCATTGAACTTACCGTTATAAACAGGATAGAGGACAAATTTACAGAACGCCAATACTCCGTTATTCTCTATATTACCAGGCTCACAGAACGCTTTCTTTAACTTCTTCTTCAGATCAGCTGGAGAGTCAAGTAGATCTATTTTAGAATCTGGATCAGATGCACTCATTTTACCTCCAGTCAGGCCTGGCACTGTAAAACAAAAATTTTACATTTTAATAACAACATAATAATAAAAATAACCACAATTTCTATACTAAAAAACTTCTGAAATAGGCTTCTGATTAATTAAATTTGTTTATCAAATCATCCTCTAACGAGGCATAGAACATTTATAAAACATTTGTTAACAATTGTACAAAATCTTTGTTTGGTATTTAGTAATTGTGAGTACTATATATTATAGACACAACTTTATAGAACAACAATCACTGGTTTAAGTTTTATACAAAGTTTCGAAGTGTTTCCCCACGTCGTCCTCAGACACATAATGAGAAGAAGTGATGGGTAAATAAGCAATAAAAAAGGTTTAATGTATATATAGTTTGCCCATCACTTCTTCTCATTATGTGTCTGAAGACGACGGGGGGAAACACGTCGAAACGTTGTATAAAACTTTAACCAGTGATTGTTGTTCTATAAAGCTGTGTCTATATAATAAACATTGTATGGCTAAATCTAAGCTTAATATTGCAGGCCTACTGGTATCCTTAGTTTCTGAACTTTAAAAATCCTATTCTAACCCCTTGTAAACTCTCCTCAATAGCTGGTTCAAGATCAGGACATGGACCAAAACATAAGAAAAGTTCATACAATTAGTTTAGAAGTCACTGAACAGGAGACCTACCCATTGGATTCATCAGATGAATTCTTTTAGTGTATCCTAACTGTGGAAGATATTTTTCAGCATAAACAAAGATTTTTCTCTGGTCCACTCCACCAAATTGAGCATCAACTTTTAAATATTCTTCATCTAATGCCTGGTAAATAGAAAGAAATATAATAGATATTTAAGGCCTGTCTTTCATCTCAATATTGAGTTAATAAAAACGTGCAATGATATAACATGCAAAATCTACAGAACCAAGGTCCAATTAACTAGACGCTTTATAATATTCTTCATCTAATGTCTAGTAAATAGAAAGAATTGAAATGAAACTAAGTTTTAGGTTCTGCCATTTTTCACCTCATACGGCTAATCAACTGTAATGTACACAGCCTACAGTTCATAGACCTTTATTTATCGTCCAATCAACAAGTCGCTTTCTCCATGTCAACCCTCTTCCTGATAGGGTTCATGAAGACATGTCAATACCATAACAACGAACAAGCATGAGAGATAAATCCCAAGCTGTCTTACCAAGGACAAAATCCTTGTTATCCTTTAAAAATTGTTGTCTGTCTTTCAACCCAGCTGTAAATGGGTAGGGATAATCCGGGAAAGATCAATGCCAAGAGGTTTGGTCAAGGACCAGCTGGTAGAAAGGATTGTTAACTGTGAATCCAAGTTGTTATCCTTGTAAAATATAGTTATATCTTTCTTTCTTTCTACTGTCTTCTATACACAAACAAACAGAGTCCATTTCTAAGGATAACTTTATGTTCTTTGAGGCCTCCAGAGATGAAAAAGAACTACAGGGTGGTTTGAGATTATAGCAACTTGAAACTTGGCATATCATCATCGTTCACTGTATTTCAAAATATTTCCCTTCTTCAGAGATCTTAAAAATTGGTTTTATAAAGCACCATGTTCAAGGGTCTTTGGATAATTTTTTGTATTCATACTTCTCAAGAATACAGACTGTGTGGTACGAGAACTATATCATTACCTGTAAACTAGGATACAGTAAACTACTGAGTAGAGGAGATGATACTTGTTTGACAACTTCCGCGCCAGCTTTCAACGCATCATGTTCTGTTACAATAGATGATAACCTGTATACATCTAATGTGTATTCCCTAAAATATACCAAATAAACAATTTTAAACATCTTATAGGGATGCTGAGTTAATAAATCTAAATACCAAATAAACAATTTTAGACATCTTATAGGGATGCTGAGTTAATAAATCTATATACCAAATAAACAATTTTAGACATCTTATAGGGATGCTGAGTTAATAAATCTATATACCAAATAAACATTATTAGCTATGTAGACTCTCTGAAAGGGATGCTGATTTGACAAACCTAAATACAAAACAAACATTATTAGCTCCATTGCTAAAACTAACTGTCCTGATGAGGATTGTGAATCTGAAACATGTGTCAGTAAGTTAACTTTAAGTCCTATATGAGCTGTGAACACTATTACTGATTAGCTAAGCTAAAGACATTTGCGTTTCTAAGACTAAGTTATGATTGGTCAAACAGACGACCCTTTAAGGAATAAGAAACATGATTCAACAAAAGAAACAAATCTAAAAACAATTTGACAAACCTCGATAGTTGGTAATCAGTACCCTTGACGAATTTTAATTTATCTAACGGAACTCCCAGAGATTTTAACATGGATTGAATAATTCTTTGATAATATTCCGCTCTCAGATGTAACAATGGCCAGGGAGCTTTCATATTGTCTAGGTACGCATGTAAATCAGCAAATAATATTGTTACCTGCAAAATAGAGAACATTGTTAACGTCACCATAACACTAACTTTACACACTAGATGGCAGGTTAACAACTCATGAATATTCAAAGCTGTCTTCAAGCTATTACAAACTTCATCTTATACCTTGACTGCAAGGGTCCACTTTCTAGTATCATAGAAGTTTGTAAATGAAGCGATTTTATTTGATTGTATGCTAGCGAATACAGCCAATAAGAGGCTTCAACAGAAAGTCTGTGAACACAAGCAACCACATTTCCTGAAAAGGTGTTTTAGGTTGCTTTTTGTCAATTTTTGAATATATATAATAGTCCATTACACATTTCTTGAATGTATTTCACAAGTACTAGAAAAGTTAAAAAAAATGGCATATATTTCAAATATACCTCAAACGAGGAACTTCACTTTCTATTTCTATATATAGCAGAGGCTCAATTAAATACGAGTTGTCTTTTTAACTTTCAAACGTGGATAATTCTGGATTTGAAGGCTTGAATTTCCAGAACATATATAATAGTCCATTACACAATGAAATTTGTGTACTGTCGTTCATTAAAATAATGCCTGTCCTACCTCACAACCTGCCTTTAAGAAATCAGCTATTTTAGTCATTGGTACGAAATAGGCTACATGTGGTTTACCAGTGGTGGCTGTTCCCCAGTACAGTTTAACATCTCTCTCTTTTAATATTATCTTTAATCTATCTTCTCCTATAACTTCCTGATAGACAGATAGATAGATAGGTGGATTAGATTGATGGATGAATAAATAAATAGATGAATGAATGAATAGAGTGAATGAATGAAGAAGTGGAAGAATGAATTAGTGAATGAATGAAAAGAGGAAGAATGAATGAATGAATGGAGAAGTGGCAGAATGAATGAATGAATGAATGGAGAAGTGGAAGAATGAATGAATATTTATGTGACTGAATAGATGAATGAAGGAATGAATGAAAAGAGGAAGAATGAATGAATGAATGAATGGAGAAGTGGCAGAATGAATGAATGAATGAATGAATGGAGAAGTGGAAGAATGAATGAATATTTATGTGACTGAATAGATGAATGAAGGAATGAATGATCAGTGAAATACATTAATCTATAGAGTTAGTGTAATTCTGTTAACTTTTGCAGAGCCCTGATAGGTTTTATCACATCTTTTTCAATAAAACAAATTGGTCAATGAATAAAAGAATGAATTAGCTTAGGAACAACATAACTTAGCATTACTTTTGATGATTCCACATGGTTTCTATAATATCTGGTCAAAATGTTAAATGATCAACGAGCATAAAATAAGATATTTGATTGACATGAAAGGTGGAAGTAAAATTCAGAAACTAACCTGTAGATTCCGTTTAATCAGCTCTAGTTTCTCGTCAGCTCCCGCCATTTTTACCTTCTACAATCTGATTCAGATACAGTCTCTTATTAATATCTGTACCTGAAATAATAACGATGAAATCTATTGTAATCTACAATCAATAAGTTAAAAAACATAGTTTATTACAATAGTTTATTACAATAGTTTATTACAATAGTTTATTACAATAGTTTATTACAATAGTTTATTACAATAGTTTATTACAATAGTTTATTACATGGACTAACTGAAGAGTAATATCTGGTGTATGATATTTATTATGATGTAATTTAACTTCCTGTATCTACTAACATTTCAACATTCCATTTTTCAGATTTTTTTTAAGAGGGCTGCTTTCTCTATTGACATTCATTGAGAAACTAAATTCACAAAATCACCATCAGCCTTTAGACCATTTGGAGACAGGATTTAAAAAATTGATAGTTTATATTTGATTTATAGACTAAATATGATCGTTTAATCTTCTAACTCTTTATTTATTATATTTACCTATAGTCATTATAGTCAATATGAAACAAGATACTTCCGTATCAAGTAGAGGCTATTAAACTTCACATAGTATCACCTCCTATAGATCTTAATTGAGACTGAAAGCGAGGTTTATAATGTAATTTACGTCATCCATTGAAAAGATTGATGAAGGGTAAATCTATGTGACGTCACTGATCACCCGATCAACCAAGAGACAAGGGCTTAAAAGTAAATTAAAACTGCAATTTCTCAGAAATGTGTGTGAAGGTAAAATTCATCTAGGTGTATCATTAAATAGCATAATCAATCTAGATTTTAATGAGGTAAAATATGATTAGTTTTGGGATAGTAGAATTGGAGAAGGAGGTGTTATTGCTGATACACTGTTACCCTAGCTTGTTTACGTCACGATTCTTGTTCTGGTTTCAATATGGAGGCCGCGTGAACAAGGTCTATATCATGTCTCTATTTGACCTGAAGATATTTAAATTGACCCTTCTTAAGATTTTACTACTGTTCCACTATTAGGAAAAAGCCAAACTGTTACAGTTAGGGAACCGAAAACCTCTCTTTTAGTATTCAGAAATTTATCAAAGGCCAAATGAAAACTAGCTTAGAGTCAGCTTTACATTACAATGTTCAGTGGAAACAGGGTTTTTGTCACCTAAGAATACTACCCAGTCCTACTTAATTATCATGACATCCCTTTCACCATCCCAGTCCGGCCAGTTGTCTAAAATGTCATCCATATTGCACTAATTTTATATATGCCTATGCAGATGGAAGAAATAGAACCTCAACCTTACAAAGTTAGATCGAAAAATATTTTGACAGCTGTTTGAGAATTAAACTTCCAACTATAATTTAAGACTCTACTTTTACTTTCGTCTGGTCAAAAAACTCACCGGTCAGCAGATACCCAGTTATCGGAAAACCTTTGGTTCAAATTGGCTGATTGATTGCAGTGAATATGAGTAAAATCGATACTTACCAGTTGATCACTGAACTATTTCAACACAAAATATCAGAAAAACAGTGTTTGTTTACAATTTCATCAGACAAAACTTCACTTCCGGATTCGCAAAACGTGTGTGTCACAAATAAATTTAATGTCGTAAAAGTAATCAAAATTAAATATTTTGAAAACGATACAGTGACAAATTTTTCTCGAAGAAAAATGAATTTGCTGTCATTATCATTTTAAACCATAGATTTACAGAATAGATTAAAAACCAATAAATTTTCATTGATATTTTACGACGTCCATTTTACAGTCTCGAGGTCAAAGTTCACCTGAACATGAAGTAAGCGCAACGTAAAGGATTCGCATCAATGAAAGTTAATTCAATTGATTGATTGATCGGTGAGTGGATTCAGGTAGATCTATAAAATGGCTGAATGATCAAAAGGTTTAGTCGGTCATTAATCTGATTATAATCTCATAAAGTTTACAGTCTTGTCTGTGGGCTGATAATATTAGTCTTTGCCACAGAGAAGGCCAGGCCAGTGTCCCGGAGAATGCAGTCTACTGCACTGACTGCAATGACAGTGTGGGTCCCTTTCATATTATTTGTTCTTGGACATGGTTAAATTCCAAATTGGTCATGGTGACTAAGTAGAAAATATAGTGGTTGATACTCATTCAAACAATCTAAGAGAGGCTCCAAATTTCCTCGGCATTGTGATTAAGTAGAAAAAGTAATGGTTAGGGCTCATTCAGACAATTTAAGAGAGACAAGGAAGGGTTAGGGCGGGTCTGGGAGGTAAATGTGTGTCAATGGACAGGTTCTCTTTGATACAATCAGGATCAAGACACAGGGCCTTGAAGTTGTGTCAGTATTAATAAAAATGGGCAATGTGGAAAAAATAGTGTCAACATAAAAGACATTGACACTATTTTCTCCACATTGCCCATATTTTATTAATATTGACAGAACTTCAAGGACCTGTGATCAGGACAAA